GCTTGTTGTTTGTCATTTCTCCGATCACAAATGCAGACATGGTTTTATGTTTACGCGGTGCGATGCAATGCAACGCGTAAAAAGACAGTATAAGTCATTATAATCCGTAATTATGTCCCCACTGGATGCAACAAATGCCTCGTTTATAATGTTTTTGTCTCATCGCTCCGGCCTGGACAAGGCATCACAATATGGTAAGGGGCGTAACATTTCCGTCACACACTTGAGGTATTCGGCCAATCACAACGCACTGGATAGCTGGCCAATCAGAGCACACCTCGCTTTTCAGACCGATGAACTTTGTAAAAATCGACACGTTTCAGAAAGGCAGGGGCATAGAAGAGAAACAATGATGTACAGTATTTGGAAAATAATGTGTTTTTTGAACCTTAAACCGCATAAACACATTTCATTACACCAAATACACAAAATAATGTTCTTTTTAGCAACATCATTTAACCCCTTTAATAAAACTCAGCCAGAATAATTACATTTCACCATATAAAAATGAGGTTGATGAACAATTAAAAAAAAAAAAAAAATTTAAAAAAAATTTACATCTGCATCCTAACTGAAACTACTACTACGGTCAACTCAAGCTACCCTCAAATGTGTATTTCTAAGAAAAAATAATAATGATCATGATATTTATAAATAATGATAATGATTTTTTTCTTAATATTATTTTTTTTCTTATTAGTATTACTATTACTATAATTAATATTATATTGTTTTTGTAGTATTATTCAGCAGTAATTATTACATATTATATATCATAATTATTATTATTATATGTATATTATAAATTGTAGTAATTAATATCTTTTCATTTTATTATTTTTTTCTAATTATTATTACAATTAGTGTATATTGTTTTTGTAGCATTATTTTGTAGTAATTATTACATATATTATAACTATTATATATTAGCCTACTGTAGTAATTATTACATATATTAGTTAATTTGCAATCAGGATGGTCTCAAATCCTCTTTAAAGATCCACCATATGGTGCCAAGTTAATATAATATACACAAGTTAGTATAATAGTATAATGCAAATTAAAAGAAATTAAATTGGTCGTTCTTCATGTGTTTTAATGCACTATAGTCTCTTCAGGTATAAGGTATACAGGGATGAGCAGATAAGTACTATATTGCATTAGTGTCCCAACGTATCGCATTCCTCTCTGAGGACGGAGAGGACAGTGGAAACAAAAGGACGGGATTCTTGCCTTCCTCATCTCAGTCTTGTGGGCCGTGGCGGATGTCCAAAGCTGATATTCCCAGTCTGGCACAGAATTAATGAGCCCAACTCTTATCTAGCTGCTCTGAAGCCATAGAGAATAATGATTACCTACAGAAATGCCCTGATAAATCAATGGAGCAAGGA